CTGTTTAATATCTTCATCAATGATATAGACAATGGGATCAAGGGAGCCTTTAGCAAGTCTGCAGATGACACCAAGCTGACTGGTGCGGTTGAAGTGCCAAAGGAACAGAATACCATCCAGAGGGACCTGGACAAGCTGGAGAAGTGGGCCCATGTGAACCTCATGAGGTTCAACAAGAACAAGTGGAAGGTCCTACACCTGGGTAGGGGCAATCCTTATTATCAGTACAGGCTGGGGGATGATGTGGTAGAGAGCAGACCTGCAGAAAACGAGTTGGTGGTAGTGGTGGATGAAAAGCTGGGGATTGTTCAGCCTGAAGAAGAGAAGGCTCTGGAGGGATCTTATAGTGGCTTCCCAGTACCTGAAAGGGGCTTATAGGAAAGCTAGAGAGGGACTATATACAAAAACATGTAGCAACAGGACAAGGCGCAGTGGTTTTAAACTAGAGCAGGGTAGATTTAGATCAGACATTAGGGAGAAGTTCTTCACTCTGAGGGTGGTTAAACACTGGAACAGGTTGCCCAATGAGGTGGTAGAGGGCTCATCCCTGGAGATATTCAAGGTCAGGCTTGATGGGGCTCTGAGCAACCTGATCTGGTTAAAGATGTCCTTGCTTACTGCCAGAGGTTGGACTGGATGGGTTCTAAAGGTCCCTTCCAACCCAATGCATTCTGTGATTCTATGATCTTTCTGGGCCAATATTCCCACCATCTTTATGTTTATACCTTCTTTTACAGGTGAAGTCAGGTGTGAGGCACCAAATAACAAACTGGATAAGTTCACAGGAACTCTTACTCTTCGAGGAGAGAAGTATGCCCTCGACAATGAGAAGATGTTGCTGAGGGGCTGTACAATTAGGAACACAGAGTGGTGCTTTGGTCTTGTTATTTATGCTGGTAGGTAGAAAAAATGACATATGAATTGCAGAGCACAGCAGCACTAGCATGGTAGTACATCACACCCAGTATCCATAAAGGAACCAAGAATTTTCTTCTTTGGAAAATACATTTCTATTGAGTACAAGAACAAGTAAATGAGAACTCTTGGTTTAACTCCAGGCTATAAATTATGCATATTACAGGGGATTTTAATCTGAATTTTTTTATAGCAGCCTATAAGAGAAAACTGGATTGCCAATGCTACATTACAACTTCCAATTCCATCTTGATGGAAGTAGTCTTTTATTTCAGAAATGCATGCAGCAAAGAGAAGTCAAGATCAATCAATAAGAAAGAATATAAGAATTAAATCTGTTTAAGAGTTAAAGCTGAATTAAATCTGCCTTTACTGGCCCACACTGAGCCAACTGGAGTCTTTCTTTCACCAGGCTTGCTCAAAATTTTTCACTCTTCAATGAATTTGATTAAAAATTGCACATAATTTCTATGTGACTTTAATTCATATTTGAATATCAGGATCATCAATAATATTATTGTCAGCCATTAGATCTATGCTTTTTACAAGCATAGACCTTCTGCTGTTTCTATACTGCTGTAGACATGTGAGATGATGTATAACATGTCACTAATAACAAAGCACTAACAGGTATTCTGTGAAAAGTAATTAAGCCTGAAAGGGATTGACTGTTGAAAGGAGAGAGCAGGATCAAAATCCAGAATTAATGGCTTTATGTTACTCTCTCCATATAACCTAAGGCAAGAGACTTAACCTTTTTCTGCCTAAGTTTCCCACCAGCACTATAAACTGTATATACCTGCCCTCAAGAAAGCTGTGATGGGTATTTATGCTGTAAAGCACAGCAGGGCCTCAGAGGGAATCAGCTTTAGAAGGGCTAAGATTTATTACTGAAATTCATAAACGTGTTTTATCTCCAGGGCCAGACACTAAACTAATGCAGAACAGTGGAAAAACAACTTTTAAACGGACGAGCATTGATCGGCTCATGAATGTCCTTGTGTTGGTGGTGAGTCTCATTAATGTATCTTCATTTCTTCAAATGTATTCATCATTTCCAGGTGCTCCACCTCTTTGTCCACACAAATGAGGGAATATCAGAAGTGACTAATGATAAAAAGAAAAATTATGTAATAATTTATTAGCAGCCGGAGTTCAGCAGCGGCTCTGCTAAGCTCATTTTGCAAAGCAAGGCCATTACATTGACAGTGTTAAGAACTTTTCTTCTGAGCTTTTCATTTGCTCTGCTTGCCCTCGCTCTGCATTTTTTTACAAGAAACACTTTGAAGCCTGCAATTGCCTTTTTTCCCTAGTAATTGTGTCATTTTCTATTTAAATAAACATTAGCACTGTTCCCTCTTCTTTCTAATTTCTTGGCATCTTTGGTGATATCTGCATAGGACTTGGTAGTTGAGTTTGTTAATTTACATGATGCCAGCTTCTGACTTAACACATTAGGGTAAAATGTTAGACATGGTCTCATTAATACTCAGAAACTGGTGTTTTTAGCAGCTGGGAAATTTGAGAACACTAATCTTATCTAGCAGACACTCTCCTCAAATTATAAAACAGATCTGATTTGAGGTTTAAGCTTGTCAGTGGTTTTGACAAATGTGTTTTGACAAACACGTCCAGGCAGAGGTGGTGATTCCTTTGCAGAGACTCTCCCAAGATTTCACTGCTTGAGTTCAAAGACACTCAGGGAAGGGACTATTTTGGTTGTTACTGCAGAGACATACACTATAACACTGCTTTACTCAATGTTTCTTGTAGGAAAGCTTTCCAGTTTCAGGCTTTTATCTTCCTTTGGATGCAAGTTTTTCTTTTTTTTTTCATGCATGCTGCACCACCTTCAGTTTATGACACTGGGAAGGTCTGGCTCCTCCTGTGGTCACTTTTTCCCACCAGTGCCCACTGTTTCCTCTAGCTCCCTCCTGCCCTTGTTCTTCATCTCAGCATGATGACCTGGCTGGGGTCAGGATCCATCCCCAGGGGCTGGAGCAAGCCCTGGAGAAGGTCTCCAATGCAGCCTGCCCATCACAGCAAGGCTGCCCTAAGCTCTCACTGCCCTTCATGGCTTCATGCCTCCTTGGCGCTGAGGCTTACAGCAAACACTCTTCAAGTCTGCCACTTCATCCCAGCCCCTGTCCTCCTGCTATTTTCTCAGGATCCCCAAAGCTCTTTAGGTGGGCCCATGGATGGGAGTTGTTACAGAGCAGGTTGTGCCTCTGTGAGACTGAACTAGTACCAAAGCCACAGCTGTTATCTCGACTCCCAGAGATGTGAAACTGTCTTCTGAATATCTGCATGTGTGTAGTTGCTGTAAAGCAGGGCCACAGCACAGAGAGGCACTCCAGAGTCATCTTTAAGCCCTCATGAGTCCTTGCTCCACTCATAGTAAGAACACACCCTTGGCTGTAGTAGCATTACACCAATCTCTGCCAAGTGAAAATCTTGATTACTTTCATCAGCTTGTTTTCCTCAGTGTTTTGTCCCCTTGCACTTAAGCAAAATAAAGCAAGGTTTGGGCCTCTTGCATTCAAAAATTCGCAAGCATTCAAAAAAATTCACATTTTCTGAGGTGCTCTGATATGGTTTAGCTGGAAATGAGGATGAGCTGTGGCGTTCCACGAGGCACAGAAATGAAGCAGAGAAGAACTGAGTAGGGAACTCAGGATTTAGTGTTTGATTAAGGTCTGTCAAATCTCCTATCACAAGTCAAGAGTCCCACTCAGAGTCTCTTTGGCCTCTCCTCATGAATGCCAACAAGATGAATTTACCTCCTGGCTGCATTTTAAAAAGCTGAGCAAGTTGCAGTTGATTGCATCAGCCTCTGACTGGGTTCTGGGGCACTGATGGAGCCAAGAGTGTGTTTTTCTCCTCCACACATTTTTTAAGACACCTAACATTTTGGTGTCTAAGTAAAGCCCTTCCCTACCCTAAGCACCAGGCTCTTTGCACAGCCCAGGGGATGTGGCATCAGGTCCTTCCAGCTCACTGGGTGGTCAAAGGTTACAAAGCATGGTCATATAAAGAGGCAGTATATTGCGCTTTTCATTTTGGAAATACAAAGCAGCCACAGCTTGCTATAAATAGCTCATTTTAAGTGTAATGAAACTTGCTCTATGTTAACACTGGCAAAGCTATTTTGAGTTTAATTGTCCATAAAACTTGCAGGCACAAAGCAATGTTTAAGCAGGGCTTGCCAATCAAGTCCTGGTTAAATATCACCCTGGTCTGTCACAGCAAGGGTTAATCAGGAGTGAGCGTTTCCAGATGGCAGCCATCACTGTTTTTTTATGTTTGGGAGTGTTTCTTATATATCTGAAAGAGAAGTGAATGTTCCTCCAGCAGGGATGAAACCGCCAGCTCCAGGAATGTTTTTGCCGCCAAAACCTGCTTTTAGCAGATTTAGGGAAGCTTGTTTTCAGCGAAACGGGCCTATCACCTTCATCTCTTAAACAACTTATTGCTTCAAGTCCTGGAGCAGAACTCAAAGTGCCAATAAAGAAACCGAAACAGTTTTAATTCACAGTCAAACAGGAAATGTTTCTCAAAAGTCACCTCCTCTTTACAAAAATCCTCCTCGGTCCCACAGAGGATCTGCATGGACAGGACCCAGGGAGGGAAGGTGCTCATGCTGAGAAGCCCCATGAGCATGCACAAGCCTATGGTCAGGGTTTTTTCATGTCCTTCTCTTGCAGAGCTGTGGTTGCGATTACAACACCCTGCACACAGTTGTTTCTCTGCACAGAAATCAGTCTCCAGAACCAATGCTAGCAGCCCTGTCTTTTGCATTCATCTCAAAGCAAACAGAGTGTTAGTGAACTTTGTGGAAGTGCAAGTATTGCACGCAAGTTCAGCTGCTAGGGACAAGAGCACTGGCATGCAAAATGCATATAAAGCAAAATGTACATAAAGCAAAGGCAGTCATAGAGAAGAGCTGCTGTGGTATGTGAAAGTTCAGCAGCTGTCTTGCCCCATGTGTGTTTCTGTTGGTGAATCACACATTGAATTTCCTATATGGACAGTGATATTCTACAACCTGACAATTTTCGACCTGTGAGGCAGCACAGAATCACTCAGGGTATAGTGATAAGATAGAAGAGCCAGCTGGCTCTTCTAATTAATTTATTTTACAACAGGCAAGGTCTGCAGAGAGAAGTAATATCTTTTACTTGACCAACAGAAATACCTACAAAAATAGACAGGTATGTCTATTTTCTCCATCTATGTCTGTCTGTTTAATAAAGAACATTACCTGTCCCTGGGTCATGCTTCTCATATATGCTTAAATCCTGACGGTTACAACAGCACAAATTGAAGTCTATTTTTTCCTTCTGGTAACAGAAGTTTAAAAACACTGCACCACATTCCTTACCAGCAAGCAATATTGTCTCCATTTAACAAGTGGAATAATTTATTTGGCCTCCCACAATTAAATAGAAAAGATACTGCTGATGCAGAAAATAAATGTGTCCACTGAAACTTGGCCCAGAACTTCTACTTACTGCAGCCCCCTTGCAGTAGCTTCTTGGTATTAAAACTTGAGTTGGTCAGGCATGAACTTTTCACCAAGTGATTCAAATTGCTCCATAAAACTATCCTCCTTCCTCTCACAAATTACCTCAGCAATACAAATATCAGCTTTACCAGCAATATTTCTCTGTTTGCACCTCAATTATTTTTCTTTTAAAAAGGTTGATGAATGGTTTAATGTTCATGTTACTGGGCGACCTTATACATAATGGCCCAAGTTACTGATATTTTCTCCCTAGTGATTATACAAGATTATTTTTAGTTGCTCTGTTGTGCAGCCTGTTGATTCCATATCTTCACATCTTTATTAGTACATTTGTTGTTTTAAGTCAAATGTTTGGAGAAGTTTACATTAACAGAACTGTTCTTATTATCAGTTGTCCAGGAAGGATGTCAAGCTGACTTCAGTTTATCTTCCCCACAATCACCATTTCTACCTTTCAAATACTGGAATTATGTTAGCAGATTTTCAGGATGGTGGAGCTTCCCAGTTTTCAGAGCATTATTAAAATTACACTTACTGGTCAAGAAAATTTCTCAGTGAGTCCCTCTAAGCTTTCCTCTTTAAATTATCTGGACCTACGGAATTAAAATGCTTATTATTAGCAGATAGAGCCACATAGTGTTCTTTGTCACAGAACATAGGCTGTCTTTTCCATTTGCTTCATCGTATTGGACAGATACTTCCTTCTGCTTCCTTTCTCCTTCATTCTTGGAGAACTGTCTGTTGAACATGCCTGCTTTCTCCATACCTGTTTATGACTTGACTATTTTATTTTCTTGATATTTTATATGGCTATTAATTATTCATAGTCCTAGAATTCCTTGCAGTTTATATTAATTTCTGTTAACTTCCCTTCTTCTCCCTTTTTTTTGTATTCTTTTGCAAATAAGACAATGTTCTTGTTAAACTATACTTTTATCTCAAGAGGTTGGACTGGATGATGCTTGTGGTCCCTTCCAACCTGGGATTCCACCATTCTATGATTCTATGATTCTTGTCTTCTTTTAATCAAAATGCTTTATGACAATTTAATGTGTCTGCTGAATGTTGTTCCTGAGAAAGTCCCAGTTTTCACTAAGGTACCCCACTTTGAAATTCTCTTCCCAGTTGCTTTTTCCCTGGTTTCTTTAGGCTTCAGGAAACAGGCTTCTCTAAAGTCCAAGGATATACATCCCTGGTTAGTGTCGCTTTCTGTTTGCTCACAGGAAATGCAATCAGATTGTGATAGCAGGTGCCAAGGCAATCATTAGTTCTGAGCCAGTGATTAACTCTTCTGTAACCATCAGAATGATATCCAGTGCTGAGTTCCAACCTGCACAGTGCTTGCTTTCCTGTGTTACAAATTATCTTTAGTCTATATCCTCAGAAATTATGAGGAAAAGTATGACACATCCACCAAATGGCTGGGTGAAGTCCTCCAGGCAGTTTCTATTCCCAATTGTGCAGCCAGATGTTTGAGGAGCCACAGCACAACACACTTCTAATGAAATTTGATGTTCTGCAGCCAGCTGCCCATCAGCACCCTGGTTTAGGTGCTTGCTTGGGACTTAAATTCCCAGATGTCTGAGGTCTTGTGGTTCCAAATTGCCAGGTGCTGCACTGTGTTATTTTGTCCTTGAGGTAAAATTGTCATAACTTTGCTGGTTTTCCTCCTTCACCCCTAGGAATATTTTCCTTTGATTCACACTGTCCAACCCAATCTCACTAGGGTCTTCTGTTTAACCTGTAAATAATAAATTCCTTGTTTCTAAGATGCAATATTTTGGTGGTTTGGTTTTTGTTTTTGTTTTTGTTTTTCCAGATCTTTGTATTTTTAGCACTGATGTGTCTTATCCTAGCCATTGGCAATGGCATCTGGGAGTATGATAAGGGCTACTACTTCCAGGTCTATCTGCCCTGGGCAGAAGGCGTCACCTCTGCCTCCTACTCTGGCTTCCTCATGTTCTGGTCATACGTGATCATTCTAAACACGGTGGTGCCGATTTCACTCTACGTCAGGTACGTGCCAGAGCCTCTTCTCATGTTTCATCTTAGGAGAGGTTTCCCTTTTGCCTTAGCTGGGAGCAGCATTTTCCCAAGACATAAATGCAACCGCATTGTGGTTGATTGCACACAAACACAGCGATGCTTTTCTTATTTCTGCTGCTTAATAAGGTCTTTGTCAGGGTTGGGACAGAGACAAGAGTGAGCCCTGGAAGAGGAGAGGATGATTTTGCAGTTAAAGGGGAGGTGTAGGTGTAGGATGCTATAGGAATAAGGCTGGAAGCCTAGTATGGTTAGCATCTTGCTCTCTCCCATTTGCACTGCCTATCCAACTAAGTAAATGGCATATTCTTTGAGGTGGCTGGAGGGGTTATATGAGGAGCAGACTGCCAGGTAAGTAGGTGTAATTGGGCTGAGGATCCATAGTACTTGGTGCTATATGAGCAGAGTGAATGTCACCACTTCCCAGAGAACATAGTGCAATGTTGGTTATTGCAGATAGAGTAGGCAATGCATCCAGGATGCTCTCAAAACCTTGAGGCTGGGGTGTAGACTGGGTAGGCCTGTGTAGTTTGTCATTCCGCCTAACTCTTCAGACAGCTTTACTACCAAGACTCTCTTTTGTGTTGGTGAATATGAGGAATTAATCCCATTGCTGTCCAGTATGTCACACCAGCAGCAAAGTGGAAATTCATGCTGTCTGTGAGCTGATATGGCTCATTGGTTGTATTGAGTTACACAATGACTTTCTTGTTGTGGATTTCTGGGTTGTTTGAGCCATGGCTGTGCTCATCCCCTGGCACTGGGCTCAGCCCCGCTGGAAACTGTCCTCATCTGAGCACCACTCCCAAAACTGCACCAGGTGAAACCCTCTGCTCCTGCCTCACTTTTCAGCCTGAAAACTTTTGAAACTTTAAAAATACATTTATAAGTTGCTGTTTTATAAATAAAGGAAAGGAATTTGCTACACACCTAACAGATCATTTCAATGGGACTTGCTTCAGCATTGCTTACTACACAGGCCATTTAAGGACAATTTGATGAGAACACCCTGTCATTGCCTTCAAAGTTATCTTCTAATTGCAATCATTAATGGTCGTGCTGAAGATAAAGATCTTGTCCCTTAAACTAATGACTGTTCCATCACCTTCTCTTTCTGTTTCATCAGTGTAGAGATTATACGCTTGGGTAACAGTTTCTACATTGACTGGGACCGCAAGATGTATTATCCGGTCAATGACACACCAGCTCAGGCCCGTACCACTACACTCAATGAAGAGCTGGGGCAGATCAAGTACATCTTCTCAGACAAAACAGGAACTCTCACTCAGAACATCATGTGTTTCAACAAGTGCTCCATCAATGGCAAGTCCTATGGTACGTTATCTCTTTGTCTTATTCTCCAAGTTTTACTCCATCACATGCCTCTTGGTCCACAGAGACTAAATGTGATATCCATAAGAGAGCATCTGGTAGGAAGGTGCAGTGATTTAGTGCAGGGCTGCCCATCAGGAGTGTCTGGGGAGCCCTGACACCTCATTTGCATATCTTATTATAATATATCTGTCCCTTGTTTCCCTTTGTTGCCACCTTTTTACCTCCCTTTTTCTGCCCCAGTATTATCCCAAGTAAAGAACCTGTACCATATTACTTTTTCCTCATTGGTTCCAGTTTTACTACATCTGTACTGAAATTTGTTTTTTCTGTTATCACTACCAAGGTAATCTCAGCATTTTATGGTATTTTTGACACTGCTACCCAAGTATTGCTAACTCTGCAAAACATGAGACATAACTCATGTAACTAACTCCCTCTTAAGCAGTTGTGAAACCACCCATCCCTCACGAGGTTGCCTTCAAATTTTGACAGTTTCTCACACTGTTATCTGTCACATTCAGCAATTTCTTATGTTACGAGCAGCCGTTTTCCACATCCTGTTCAGGTAGCTGAACTTTCACTCAGCATCTAGTCAATACCCTGGTTATTTGTGTCTAACCTTGACATACTTCACCTAGAAGAGAGAAAAGTTTGTAGAGAGTTGGAAAAAGTGAGAAACAAACGTTGTTAGCTCTGTTAGAGCCTAAGTGTCATTGGCATAAGAAGCTCTTTCACTGGATGGCCCCAAGCAGTTTTCTTCATACTGCTCAAGAGGTGCTAACAATTCACAGACTGACTAATTGATTAACATCATTAGATTCCCCCAGAGAAATTAGTCACTGCTTATTCTAGTTTGAGGCTTGTTTTGCCTGTGTCAGATCTGCTGATGGACTAGTGTCCAGAAAGCTTTTTTCCCTCAGTGGTATCAGCTGGTGTAATAAAATAAGTTATTTCTTCCTTGTTTTGTGTCTATTTGGAGACTGTCATATCTCAAGCAGCACTACTTTGCTAGCCAACATTAATGCTGCTAAATAGTTTGAAAAATATTCAGTCTATTCATTCATGTGTCCTTAGTTGACTTCTCAAAGTGGACATCACCACTAAAGCAGACAGAGGGAGTGGGTTCAAGAAATGAATGGCACATATGTGGAAAGTAGTCAGTCTATTGCCTATAGTTTTCTAAGTGCTTAACTTATTCCTAGGAATGTACTTTGGATTTTCTTCTACAACCTCAGGGCTTTTCTGAGGGAGTACCAGTGCCTACTATTGACTTTGGTCACAGTTGAGGCTGCTGGTGCAGGTACGGATCTACCATTCATGTAGTTCACTGTATTTCAGTCTTATTTCAATGACGTGTTGAATCTGGCTGGGCTAGGCACAGTCCAGACCTTCCAAGTGAAATGTTTTTTCAGGGAGAAGAAGTTTCAATAGTGTTTCCTGGAGATGAGAGGTCTTCCATTTCCGTGACTAGATCATCAGTTCAGGGAAAGCAAATAGAGCAGCCTTGCTGCCTAGATGTGGGAAGAAAAGGGCTTTGATAACTCCTTCTCTGTGGTTGTCCAGGGACTGTTGCAAACTCAGTACAATCCAGGAGCTGGATTTTGTCTTGCAGTCCAAAGGGAAGTTACAAAAGAAGTCATCCCATGAAAGCACCTTTGCTTCATACCTAGCAATACATCCCTCCTGGGTTCAGCTTGAGCTAAGTCTTCTTTACCCAAACACCAGTCATTTTTATGGTAACTGTGTTGTGTTTCAAGCATCTGTCAAGTGTCTGGATTTTGGCATGGATCAACATAAAAAATGACTAATATGAATCATCAGTCTACAGCGCTCACGTCAAGATATTTATGCTTACTGAAACTTTTAAATTAGATACTATCTTCAAACACTTTAACGACTTTTGTGATAGAGAAGTTCAGAGACTGTACTTACCTGGAGTTTTTGTCTATAACCTCAGTCTTTCTTGCTTGTAGGTGATGTGTATAAGTCTGGGCAAAGGATAGAAATAAATGAGGTAAGTGCTCAAGTGCTATCAAGATCTGTGCTTCAAGTGAACCTGCCTGCCTAAGTGCTTGTGGGTACAACCCAACCAGCACAACTCATGCTCATGACCCTGATGAGAGTGACATGTGTCCCTGTGGATCTCAGAGGATGGCCAGAGTTGTATTCCCCTCCAGTAAGCCTGATTTAAACCTGCAGGTTTGGTATCCTGAGTGCCCACTGTTCCCTCAGCTTCACATGACATCCTAGTGCATGCACAGCTCCTTCTGAACACTTCGCCATTGATGTTTGTTGGAAACGTGGACATTGGTGAATTTTATCATCCTTGGCAGTTCGTTAAAACTTTGGTGGGTAATCAGTGAGTTCAGTTCATATCGATAACAATGTCACTGTCAAATTCCCCTAATGTCTTTACATTGGAAACTGTCAAAATGGATGATTTCCCCATTGCTTTTTAGCCTCTGCTTGCTGGCACAAACCCATGTCTTGGATCTCTAAAATGTCTGAAAACTGCACGCAGTAATCCAAGCAATGAACAGCAAGAGGAGGATGAAAATCCCACTCCTAGTTCCAATAATTCATTTTCAGGCCATTTAAAACTTAAATTACCCACTGAAATTGGCTATTTGTGCTGAGTGCTGGCCTCACTCAGGCAGCAAAATGCAATGGGCTTACTTATTTGGGGAGACACGCTGGTCTCCTGTCAACTGGCTGCCCAGGAGCTCCTCCTGCCCATGATACTCGAGCATGGTCATGCAAGTCAAAAGGCTGCTGCTCACACATCCACGGTGCCTGGACCTTGCTGCACAGCCGAGTGTGCATGTGGGGTGGGCCCAAGCTCTTGTAGTAAGTGCTAAATGTCAGCTTGCAAAGGTCAAAAGGATGACTCCCATCCTGGAAATTCTGAGCTCATTGGGGATGGGGTGGGAGTCTGAATCGTCCCAGGCAGGCTCAGCAGTGCATTCCTCCATGACACATCATGCTGTGAGCTTCTGGCCATCTCTCCACTACATTCCCCTCTGCTTGAGGTTCCTTGTTTTAGAAAAAATCAGCAGTGTTTGTGGAGTTGAATCTTTACATCACTTGCCTGTCATCATTTTCCATATCAGAATTTTTTTCTTGTTTTCGGAGAATAAGGTGGACAACACAGCCTTTTGAATTGTTTTAAACTGGGCTTCCACATTCCCCTGTCACAGGCAGCCATAGAAATCAGGAGCATGATGCCACCAAGCAGGCGTGTGTTGAAGGCAGGCATTTCTTTGCTATAGAAATCATCTGGTGGGTATCCTGTAGGAACATTTACTGTCCTACAGAGAGGGACCTTTAGCTTATAAGGTGGTCAGCCTGAGTGCTGCTTTGAAAGGCACCTCAAGTCCCTGTCCTCTCCTGTGATTCAGGAGCTTTCACAACCTCCCACTTACTTAGACTCATCCGTCTCTGTCATGAACAGCCCTGCAGGAGAGGGCCCTCTGTAAATGTAAGGAAGAGAGGGAAGGTATGATGGGAGCATGTGACAGCTCCACAAATAACACCAAACCATATTTTTGCAGAACACAGAGAAGGTGGATTTCTCATATAACCAGTTGGCCGACCCAAAGTTTGCCTTCTATGACCACAGCCTGGTCGAAGCCGTGAAGCTGAACGATGTCCCGACACACAGGTTCTTCCGGCTGCTCTCACTTTGCCACACAGTGATGCCAGAAGAGAAGAAGGAAGGTGAGGACTGTGGAAAGCACCAAACTGCGTGGTTATGTTCACCCCGCGCCACAGTATGTCTTCTCTCCGCAGAAGCTGTTACTGGTCCTTTTGGCTCCCTGGTGATTTTCTGTAGTGTATGGCTACATGTAATTCAGTGTCTTTGGAGATGCTGCATGGGAAGACAAAGGACCAGGGCCTCCACTCCCCGTGTGTTCCTGTGGTGGAGCTGACACTGCTGCAGACACCACATCTCTGAAGTGCGGGAACTGCAGGTGCCACAGCTTCCCTGAGGTGGCAGATGGCTTGCCCCACTCTTTCTCTACTCTGCACCAAGTCCCATAAAGCAAAGAGCCTAGAGCACCTACCCACAGGAGACTCATTAGCTCTGATCACCCAGTGTTCCTGCAGGTACTGGGTCAGCCTCCTCAAATCCCAGATGGGGTAAAAACTATGCTTTAAAAACTAGAACCATTAATTGACATGTTTAAACTGAAACTACTGATGAGAAAAACACATGCAGATTTAACTAGAAGGGGATAAACCCAAGGAAGTTGTCCTCTCAGTGAGATCTGTGGGACCCCAATGAGAGTGATAAAAGAGTCTACGGCGTCCTCTTGCACTGGCCTAATGGGTTGATGGGACTTGATGGAGACATGTGGACGTAAGATGCTGTACCTCTCGGGATAGACAGAAAAGCAAAAGGTTTACTGCTATACAGTGTGTTTGATTTTGTATCTGTTTAGCCTCAGAAACGAGGTAGAAGCCACATTATGTTTTTTTCCTTGCCTGTCAGGTAGCTTGGCGTATCAGGCACAATCTCCTGATGAGGGAGCCCTCGTCACTGCTGCCAGAAACTTTGGATTTGTGTTCTGGGCTCGCACACCAGAGACCATCACCGTTGTTGAAATGGGAGAAACAAAAATCTACAAACTCCTGGCTATTCTTGATTTCAACAATGTTCGCAAGCGAATGTCTGTTATTGGTATGTTCCCTTTGCTCCCTTCTTTCCTTCCTGACATTTTAGGCTCTCTTCTGCTGTGATGCCTTTTCCTAGGAGACCTCCTTTGCAATGCTTTCTGAGTAACATTTACTTCTGAGTGCTTGAGATGGGCTGCCTTGACTTTTAAATTTCACAACAGTGCTAGATAAATACTTAACTTTGGTGGGTGGGAGAACACTTTAACATCTGGACCATGATGATGGAGCAGCCTCCTGAAGACACTAAGCTTTTTGCATATCTTACCTCCCTCATGACAGTGCAGGAAAGGCCTTCCTTCTAATCAGCTTTAAAATTATCAGCAAATCCGAGGAAGTGAATGCAAGGGCAAGTAGAGAAGCCCACTTTCCTGAAAGGAAAATGGAGAAGTTATTTGAGAAACCTTGTGTAGCCTTTATTAGCCCTCCAATATCCTCAGATATTTCAGGAATTGGAATATCATAACTGTAGCAAGAGAGTGGTAGTACCTTTATGGGTAGGAACAGCAGGACCGGTTCCCTAAGAACAAATTGTTCTTGACTTTTGAATGCAGATGTCCTGCCTGAAACAGAGCATCCGCTCCACAGAGCATCTGCTCAAACCAAAGCAACCTGGGTACAGTTGTCTGTGCCGCTGCTGCTGATGTGGAGAGTAGTTGCATTGTGTTCTGTCCTAAGCAAAGCTTGTCTTGATTGCGGGGAGGCTGCCAACACTTGGCGGAGTTTGGACACCTCTAAAAACCTTTCTTTGTTTTAATGTGAATCCCAGGTGCTTCAGTCTGGGATTTGCAGCATTTATTTTTCTCTTCCTTGCAGTGCGGAGTCCAGAAGGTGACTTGACTTTGTACTGCAAGGGAGCTGACACCATTCTTTATGACCTGCTTCACTCATCCTGTGAATCTCTCAAAGAGGAGACCACAGAACACCTGAACGTAAGTGTTTTCTTCTGCACAACATCTCTGCATTTGCTGGCTTCCTTTTCTCCAGGTATGGAAATGTACTTTCTGTGATTTCAGAAGCAACATCCAAGCACCAGTTTTTTGTTTTGGTCCCTGAAATGGGACAATGCATCTGTGTTTTGGCAACTAAATGGCAACTAAGTCAGCTTTTACAGCACAACACATGCACCTGATGCATTCAAGCATGCCTTGGTTGGGAATAACTCAGGTGAGCAGTAAAGGGCCACAAAGCCATTTACCTTCTTGACTACAGATCAGATGTTCAATGAATGTGATCTGAGAGGTCTCAGCCAGAAGAGTCTGAGCAGGCACTGGGACCTGCCCATTTCCCTTTATTCCAGATATCATATAAGGACATATAGACTAGGCAGCAAGGAAGATGCATCACTCAAACTTGTAGCCTTTTATGCTGTTGATGGTGTGCTCTGGGAGGTGGTTACTCAGAAAAGGGGATGTTTTGGCCAATGTTTACTCCCCACTGTGATGCTAAATCCTACTAATACAGCACAGAGCACAAGATAACAGTAAGTTTTGCAAGAGGGGTTGTGCAATAGCATAAACATCTCTGCTGCCTGCCTGGGGGAGCCAGAGAAACTTGATGGTGAAGGAGAGGGCAGAGCGGAGATAGGCTGTGGATGTGGCCTGTTCCTGATGTACCTTTACTTCAAGCCTGGGGGAACAGCTCAGTTTTCACGAGGAGATCTCTGTTTATCTGCCAAGCACTGAGACCCGTATTGTCAATCATACGTCTGCAGAAAGCACACTTACAAAGCCTTGCTGCAATGTCATGGTTGACTGTGCTCACACTGTGCATTTCAGCCAGCATTTGTACACTAAAAATGTTTAGCCCAGGTCCAAAATTCAAAGCTGTGTTTGATGTTTATTCAAGTCTCACTGTTCTGAACCTTACAGTGAGAAATACAAGCCTGGGAAACTGCTGCCTGATTAATGTAAAGCTTTAGAGCCAGAAAGTAGGTAAGCTCTTTTAAATTTGTGGATGGCAATGATAAAGTGGTCTAGAACTAGTTTTTAAAAACTGCCCCAAGATTTGTATTCTAAGGTGTATATTCTAAGGTATTCACCTTTGTTCTGCAGACTTTAGGCAAGAAGCTTTTACAAATAGCCCGTTTGCTTTCCACGGGTCCTTTGTGAGCCCAAGTGAGCAGACCGCCCTTCTTTGACCTATTCTGCCTCACCACTGTCCCACAGGAGTTTGCTGGGGAAGGTCTGAGGACACTCGTGGTGGCCTGTAAAAACTTGGATGAAGACTACTTTCAGGACTGGATCAGGCGTCACCATGAAGCCAGCACCGCCTTGGAAGGACGGGAAGAGAAACTGTCGGAGTTATATGAAGAGATTGAAAAAGACCTCATGGTTGGTGTTTCAGGGAATCTGGGCCAAGCTCTGGGGGAGGCAGCGAGGATGGTGGTTTGTCAATAAACAGCTCAGTATGACTTCAGTAAACACTGCTCTGCAAACAACTCAGTGGGTTGTGTGACAGGAGCGGGTAGAAATATGGCAGTCCTAAGTTTCCACTGGCACCTCCATCAGGAGCCTGTAACAGGGGTGTCAGCCACCAGTGCAGGGGAATGGTTTTTATTTTAACTGACGTGGGTGTCAGTGTAGCTTTCTGGTGATGAAGTGACATGCCAGAGCCTGAGGGAGATGACGTGGACACAAATATTTCATAGCTATCCTTTGTATGTGCAAATGGCTGGTCTATTTATCTTCTTGCCTTTGAAATGACAGGCAGTGAATAATCCCCAGTGCCCCTCGGTTTCAGAGAGTGTCTTCTTTGTTCTTGCATCTCTGGGTAGGATGGGGAGATGATGCCCATGAACATGTTTGTGTCAATTTGAAACAGGCCTAAACTGTGATCTGCAAGTCACTCTGTTCTCCATGAGTGATGTTACAGCTTTTTGAATGCCCTGGGGGGTCTGCCTGTGTTTTAGAGCCATAAATAATGAATGAAAAAGATGTGTGGGATCCGAGGGGAAGCAGTTCAGCTTTTGCACTTGCAGCAGTGCTTTCCTTAAATCTCAGAAATCCTGGGTGCTGCACTGTTGCTCCTTCCATTAGCCACACATCCAGGATGCCAGCAGGGCCTGGGAAGAAGCAAGTGTGAGCCAAGGAGCTGCTGAAGTGCAAGGAGCAGAGCCTATTGCCTGGGAAAATGCTAATCCTCCAGTCCAGGGAATATATTGTGCAAATGCTGTGTGGGCCATGGCCAAAGCAGGGAAGACATTTTAGGAGGTTTAGGAGACAGCAGCCTTACAGGAAAGGTTTATGAAGCTCATGGTCTGAGTAGAGAAGAGGTCACAGGCTCCCAGCAGGAAGAAATGTGTCTCAGAAGAAAATACTCTCTGCACAATAAGGACAAGGGGGAATCAGGCTGGAACATGTTATGTTCAGAGAATAGTAGTGAAAATACTATTTATAATTAATTGACCTAAAAACTAAGGAAGATTCACAGTCAGGAAGGCATCATGACAGTCCCTCCAGCTGCTCTCACACGAGGTCATGGGCAGACAGACAAGGGCCTGTCAACAACACTGCTGTGCCTTCCTGCAGCTCCAGAAAGATGACGGCTGGGGGAATGCGTGGCCTTGTTCTCTGTTCCTGGGCACATTTGACCTCAGTGTTCATCTTTGGGCTTCCAGGTAGACTCAGGTTGCCAAGGACAAGCAGATGGTGGTGGCTTTGTATGCTACAAGCATTTAAGCTCTTGCTAGCTGGGCCAGGGACTATTGCTGTAAAATGTGGATTGTGCTGTTTTAAGGAACCTACAGAGAAGTTCCCTCAGAGCTGTTGTCTACATTGATAGCACTCATAGCTGGTGAAAGATGAACAACCCAGGAAGCCCAAAGGGATCTTGGTCTTAAAGCCAACCCCTGAATTTAGTCTCCCAACAGCCAGAGGTAGGTGGCAGCAGATGCTGTCTGAACCTGAGTTAGCAGAGAAAGCTTCATGTCCCTTTGACAATAGGTTAAAGCCACCAAGTATCTCCAAAATGCAGAAAAGGCAATAACTTCAAAATAATGAAGGTTTGTGTCCTGAGCAGTCTGTGGTTTAGTTGTGGAGCAGTGTGGAGCAGGGGTGGGGACAGGCTAGAGAAGATGATTAGCAGCCATATGACAGCTGCAGTACAATATGGCTGGGAGCAAACTTCACACTAGAGGATGCATATGGAGATTTGGGGACACAGATGCACAGCTATCTTTGTTCCTAAGTGACAGCTCTAACTGCTGTAAAGAGGACGTGGAAGAACATAGACCTGTAGGTCTGCAAACATGTTGGCAAATAATTTCATGCATGTTCATAATCCAGCTGAGCCTGGAGGTTTAGAGACTTCATACACAAGATTTGCTTAGGAAGAATGAAAATTAGTACAAATGAATTCCTGGACTTCATTAGTATCTGCTTGAGTAATTGCCTGGAGGTCTAATGCTTTTGCCTTTGCTGGCAATAGGAAAACTTATCAGTTCCCTGCCCCTTTCTGTTAAGCTGCTTGGTGCCACAGCGATTGAGGACAAGCTGCAGGACGGAGTGCCACAGACAATCGAGACACTTGCCAAAGCCAACATTAAGATATGGGTCCTCACTGGAGACAAGCAAGGTAAAGCAGCTACAGTTTTGGATGTTTCTCTTCTCTCCCACCCGTGCAATGGTTCTGCTGAAGTGCACATTCTCACTCTTTCTCCTTCAGAAAACTGCACAGAGGACAAACTTACAGGGCTTTCCTTCATTGCCAGATAGGAAAAATTCCAGATTTCTGGAATTAGACCAGATAACTGTAGCTAGTGTCTGTTCTTAATTCTGGAGGCTGGAAGCAGTGTGAAGTCACATCCTTTGCCTTTGGGGATGCAGCAATGAACATGCCATAGTCCCTGTCATAGGCAGTGACAAGGTGTCAGTTTAGTACAGTTGATGATCTTGGTGAAGAAGGTGGGAAATATCTTGTCCTGCTTTCCAAGAACGTCAATGCTAAAGTGGATGTTTGGTCTGTTCCAATTTGGCCCTTGCATTAATGATCCAGAACAGAAATGGAGAAAATACAGGCTTTTGGAGAAAGCATTTAACTGGAGAGAAATATGAATAGACTTCAATCAAATATTCTGGATAAGTAGCAACTTCACTGAAACAATGATGTTGCAGGGAGGCGGAAAGTGTCTGCAAGTAATTTCATCCAAGAAATGAGAAGAGAATTTTTGAGAAAAATGAAACATTTAATTTTGTCACGTTCCCAATGTAATAGGTTTGCTTCTGAAATACCAAAATACTTCCCCTCCCGCCCCCTCCAAATCCTCTGAACAAAATGTCTTGATATTCTTCTTCAAAACTATGGTTTGGGGCTTTTCTGGGGGGAGGGGAGGGAAAGTTAAATATCCTGAAAAAAAATGTTGGAGTCAACATGAAATCTTTTTAGTTTCTCCAAGCATGCTGGCCAAAGGTTGTTTTAACCTTTTTCATTTTAGTAGAATTATTTTTTATTGTGGCCTTGTAAAGCCCAATTTGTGGAAATCTGCTGTTATGTCCATCAAGGTGACTCTCCTGGGTCTCTTAAACTGTTGACTCTGAAAGGCTCACAGCTCTAGGGTGAGAAAGAGAGCTTTTGTCATGTGTGTAAAGTGGGCACAGAGACAGTGTGTGAGTTTAAGGCTTCTAAAATGGGTCATCTTCCTGGTTTATCTTTCCCAGAGACGGCAGTGAATATTGGCTACTCCTGCAACTTGCTGAATGATGACATGGAAGATGTGTTCATTATTGAAGGCAGCACATCTGATGACGTACTTAATGAGCTGAGGTAAATGGCTGAAATATACAGCTTCATTTCTGTGCACTGACATTGGAACAGAACCGTACTTGTATTTTGTATTATTCCACTTTTTGATCCAAGAGCTCAAATCTATATAAACATATAAGAAAGTAGAGTCAGCCAGGCAATATCAGCTGAACTGATATAATAACACCCGATTTGGAGCCACCAGGCCTATGGCTATGTTGTTACTCTACTGCTGTTGTCACTCATCCACATTGTGGTCCTTTGCCTGGGTATGGTCCTTTTCTAGCATTATCTGGAAACCTGCCTTCCTCCATAGCCTCCTCAGTAGACACAGGTTCCTAGGTATAGGTGGAAAATGGGAAAGTTTCACAGTCCTTTTCTGTTGAAGTAGGTGGTTGTCAGAAAATATGCACAGAAGATGGGGAAGCCCTCTGGGATTCCGTCCTTCATGGCATTCAGATTTGTTTGACTTTAAATCAGCACAAGTTTAGCACACACTTCTTAGATTTTCAGAAGCACGTGGATGATCTGCACTAAGAGCAGCAACTAAACCATGCACGTGGTTGTAAGGATACAGGGAAAATTGAACTGAACTATCAAAGGGAAGCATCGATTCTTTATTTTCATAAAATTAATTTAATAAAACATATATACCTTTACAAGCTTTTCATTATTATTCTGGATCTTTTTTTTAGGAATGCAAGGAAAAAGATGAAGCCAGACTCCTTTCTGGACAGTGATGAAATCAACATTCAGTTTCAAAAATCTTCAAAAAAACCAAAAGTTATACCTGATGAGCAAGCGAACGGAGTGTATGGACTGGTTATCACTGGCCACAGCCTGGTAAGGAAGACTCAGAGTTATGCTGGGGCTGAGCTCTCTGAAAAACTTAGTGTGACACAGACACACTGGAAGTCTGAAAATGCTTTAAAAAATTAGCTCTAGAGTGAATTTTTTATTTCCTAATTGAAGATTAGGTTCAGCGATTATCTGAGACATTAATGGTGATGGGCAAGGTTTCAAAAGACTGGAACAGGGAAGAGTTGGCCCTGATGTTAGGTGAGCAGGAGGGGTAGAGTAGCTGAATCAATTTCTATTTCCAGAATGATACTAGAAAATTAATTAGGTGGCTTACAGATGCAGCAAGAAGTTAACATCAGACATGGGTTTCAAGTATGACATGAACATATTCTAATAAATATATCTAATAACAGATTTTTTTATATTTAACAGATAGGATATATATCTTATAACTTAAGTAATAAATCGTTTTATGCTCTCTCCCATTATGTTCTTCCAAGAAAACTGAAGTAATATGGTCTAGATGTAATAGTTAAGTGACAGATGGAACTGCTTGGGAAGTGTGGCTCTTAAGGGCTCACTGTTGATCTAAAACAATGGTTAAGTGGCATCTGCGGAGGGCTATCCCATATCTATTTGATATTCGGTGTTTTAATTAACTGCTTAAAAAGAGAGCAGATAACACCAGGCTGAGAGGAACTGCAGGCATGATGGAGTTCAAGATTAGATTTGAAAATAATTTTAACAAATTGGAGAAATACTTTGCAAAAATGGAGAATGCAATTCAGTAAGAACAAATGCCTTGTTCTCCACTTTCACATAATTGACTAAACACATACAAAATCAAAGATATGTATGTAGAAGCATCATATGTAAGACTTGTGAAGAAAGCCTCCTGCTTCATTTGGCATCAGTAAACTCCTACCTTAAATAATTCAACTAATTTGGGCCATTTTCTTAGATAAAATGTAGACCAGCTAGAGAGAGTACAAAAAAACCTCTAAGAGTGGTCATGCATGATCTGGAAAGCACAGGGGAAAATGGAGAGTTAGGATTTCTGAGCCTAGAGAATGCTGATCAGTCTTGGTAATATTCTTCAAATAATAACAGGTAAACAAAGTAATAGCATTCAACTGAGACAAGAGAGGTTGGGATTGTCTTCCTGGTGAGAGTAGTGAAGCACTGAGCAGGTTTTCCATCCTTGGGAATTTTTTAGAATAGGTTAGAGGAAAAAAACCCAACAATTTAGATACTGTTCAACCTGCCTGGGAGGAAGGCTTAGTCTTGATCAGGTTTATTTGTCTACTGTATTTTGCTTTCCCAGATTGCAGGGGAAGCAAATATGTAGATGCAGAAAGAGCCAGAAGGCACTGCCTTTCAGAGACAAGATGCTTCTGTTCACTGTGGTTGCTACCTCTCTTGATGGCAGTTCAGCAAATTAACTCCCAGCTCCATATGAGTCTGGCAAATTACTATTGAAAGAACCTTGTCTTGATCCTTAATACCCTTTAGATCCCCACTCCAAAACAGACAGAAAGTCTGTCGAGTGTGGTGCACCTGCACGGGCAAATCCTCTGACATCTCAGCTGGCCGCAAGCCCCTGCCTGCTCCTACTCCACCCCTTCAGCCGCAGACACCAAGCACTGTGCTGTAAAAGCACCACTGGCAGCGGTGACAAAGCTTTCTTTTTATTCCTGGAAAGCCACACACTCACCCATACCCTGGCAAGGAGATAGGTCCCACATAAAGAAATGCACCTCTGGGCTGCATGGGAGCCGCCAGCCCACATAGCCTGCAGTGGAATGGACATAGCCAGTCTCACCAGGACCATGGCTTTCTCCTGGGTGTGGACCACAAGGACAGTGTGGACAAAACCACGTGTTATTTATTTATTTATATGAACCTACAGCTTGAACAATGGCAGTACTGCTGCTACTGTCCCAGTCAAGTACAGCATCTGTTCCGTGCCATATCCCTACCTCCAGATGGGTGGGATGGCAGCAATGGGGCTATGCACACATGCAGTCTTGCTTAAACAAAGAAAGTGAACAGAAAACACATCAGCATCTGTAATGGCATAATCATAATAGCTGATTTCTGTGCAGTACTATTAATACACTACATGGTAACATTTTCCTAGTGCTGTGCAGCAAAGACGTTGTGGCAAAAGCCATCTCTAACTCCACTGACCAGCGCTAAAGCTAAACCATGAGAAGGTCTCTCTTGTTGAACAAGCCTGCCTGTCCCTGATGGGAGGGCAGCAGGGGTGCTGGTGATTCATGGCTCTCTGCTTCAAGAAGAAACGATACCTGGCCTAAGGACTGTCTGCTTTATGCAGAAAGGGAAGTGGGCCTCCTGTAATGGCTCTGAGGAGCAGAGAGCCCTGTAGATTTCTTCCATGCATGTCCAATGAGAAGAGACATCAAAGAACAGAGCCAAAAAGCATGACCTGAAAGAAATATGAAAAGCTAATATTCACATAGAGCTGGAGAGGTGACCAGACATCAAATTATCTCTGTGCTTCCCAAATAGAAATAACACGACTGACTGATTGAAAAGGTCAGCTTTCAGAGCAAAGTTGCCTTTTCCCTGGCTGTGTGTTTTGCTTTGTCATGCCCACTTGAACTCAGCTTTTTCCATGTTTGGTTCTTTTTTCTTTTTTAATTGAGTGCTCCCAAATTGAAATCTCTTCTATTTATACCACAGATCACCCGGAGCTTAAAAAATAAATGAAGGATGAGCAGAGCAGCTTTGTTAGATGTGTGCTGCTGCTGTTTGATGCTTCTGCTGCACTGTCAGGATACAGCAGTCAGAGCAGCTGTGCTGCAGATCCAGCTGTGCTGCAGATCCAGCTGTGCTGAATCCAAGGTGCAAGCTTGTAGGTCTAATCTGCATGGCACAATGATGTGAAGCGTGGATGCTCCCTGCAACTGAATGGATGGATTCACTTGGAGTATCTCATACCTTTCTTCTGCCAAATGGAAGAACTAGCTCTGTTTTCATTTCTGTAACATTGCATCCTTTTTGTCTGGCCACAAGTTGCTGCCAGTCTGACCTGAACACCTGCTTTGGTCCTTCTCAGGCTTACGCGCTGGAAGGGAATTTGGAGCTGGAGCTGGTGCGAACTGCCTGCATGTGCAAGGTGGTGATCTGCTGCCGGGTGACCCCGCTGCAGAAGGCCCAGGTGGTGGAGCTGGTGAAGAAGTACAAGAAGGCCGTGACCCTGGCAATCGGAGATGGTGCCAACGATGTCAGCATGATCAAAAGTGAGTGATGGCAGACAGCTGGCATGGCCCAGCAGAAGGACTTGCTGCCGTATGAGCTCTCTGAGGTGGCCTGGCTGCAGGAACACGTATCTGAGCACCTTCTGTACCACCAAGCATATGTGCCCCAAGTTTCAGCAGGTTTCTACAGAGCACTGTCACTATAGGCTGCTCGTGTCTCCTGCCTTCCAGGATGCATAAGAGGGCCCATTGCTGTGATTGCAGGGAGCTAGGACCGCACTTACTGCCTATTTATTTCTAGGTTAGAAGATACAAAAGCCCACTGGGGCTGTGACATGTCCACCCGTGTGTGTCTGCATGGCCACCACCACAAGGGCAGTACAAAGAACAAAATGTTTGCTTCAGAGAGGGCCTGTCTGCAATGCAGAAAATGAATCTTCATGCCCGTAAATAATCTGTATGTTACATGATTTTTCTAAACGTTTCTAGGTGTTAGGGCCATTTGTCAATTATCTCCCTTGTGTTACAATACATGGGCTTCTATGCCCCATCGTCTTTGAGCATCATCTGATGCTGCATTACCTCAGTAAATTTATGAAAAAAATCCCCTAACCAGGTATAATTAAATTAAGATTATTCAGAAGGGCCTATTGCTAATCTTTCTTGTGTTAATTTGCAAGAATTGATTAACTGGAGCCTTTTAATTAAGAACGAAAAGGCTAAGTAGGAAGCTTCAAGGGAGATAAGTCAGACAGTCAGTAAAGAAAGGATAAGAAAAGGAAGTTAAAAAGAGTACATGATAATTTGAAACTAACCGCCCCCACCCCCTCCCCCCTGCGGGTTGGGACTTTGGAATTTTATCCATTCACTGATCCATGGAAACCTCTGAATCTCCCCAACCTCCAGCCATCAAGATTGTTCTCATTAGTTAAAGCTGTATAATTAGCTGTCACATTAAACTTATGTCCATGTTTAATAAACCCAAGTTACTATTAAAAAAGACGTGACTCTTCTGTCTAATTATTGATTGAACTAATAAAACCCAGGAAATGCAAAAAGTCTACAGGGTGCCTTGTAGCACTGTGTCTGAGAATCTATAAGGGATTTGAAGGTTTTGATTGTCTAGAGTGGTGTTTTAAGGCTGCTGGAAGGACACGCGTGCATGTAAATGCAAGTCACATGTCTGTAAATTAAAGTTATTTTTTCATAACAGCAGCTGTTATGAACATTCAGAAAAAAAACCATGAATTGCCACAGAGGGTGTAATTTCATTCAAATGATAAAAGCCCAGTTACTGGAAATGTATCACCACAGCCAAAATCATAATGCTGCTGAAAGAATTACTGCTCCAAATTATTTTAATTTTTTTTAATAACTTTAAATGTGACTTTTTATGAAGGCTGCGAGGGAATTAACACAGTGTCCCAGTGCAGTGAACTAATTTTTAAAATGGGGTAATCAAAACTCCCAGTGTAATGACATGATCAATAACCTTCTTGTTGCAGCTGCCCACATCGGGGTTGGTATCAGCGGCCAGGAGGGGATGCAGGCGGTCTTGTCCAGTGACTTCTCCTTTGCGCAGTTCCGGTACCTGCAGCGCCTGCTCTTAGTTCACGGCCGGTGGTCCTACATCCGCATGTGCAAGTTCCTCAAATACTTCTTCTATAAGAATTTTGCCTTCACATTAGTGCATTTCTGGTATGGCTTCTTCTCTGGCTTCTCAGCACAGGTAGGCCCAGCTTCTGTTTTCTCATCACCATGTCTAGCATTTTCAAGTAAAGTATCTGGAAACGTTTTAAAAGAAAATAAACTAAGCCATTCCTCCTACCTCATTAAATACCACACAGGTCTGTCTTCTTCAGCTATATGAGTTTAAAGCAGGTACTGCTGCCTCTGGTGCACTGCTAGTAGAGGACAGATGCCTGAAGATACTTAGGTCCATTATGAAGCACATGGGTACCTCGTGGGATTTTTGAAAGTGTTCAAACTGACTACAGCCATCAATCAAAAATACAAATTACACAGAGGGTTGACTAGTTTGTCCAAGATCTGTGTAAGACCAGTGCTTGCCCTGTTAGCACATTTGAAGCAACCAGTTTAACCCCAGGATGCCTGTGTGCTTTAGCAGCTCACAAGATGAGCAAACCTGCTGCAGCAAAAATTCTGGTGTTAAAGACAAACCAATCTCCAACCCAGGCCCTGGGAAGTGCAGACAGTGTGCAAGTGTTATCCCCAGGGCTGAGGGTGCCAGTTCTGGTGCAGGAGTGTCCTGTTTTGAATATGGCCGGCAGGAGATGCTCAGCAAACAGGACCTGCATAATGTGATAACGTGATCCTTCCCCATATATTCGACAGCTGATGTACCGAGCCATTTAGGGCTGCTGAGCTTGAGTCACCTTGTATTTTGGTCTCAGTAGCATCTCAAACCAAGATGTTCCAGCATTTACTTGTGTATACTTTTCAAGAGATGGAAAAGGCAGCCTTTTGTTAACTTCATGCTCTGGGTTTTTTTTTTTTAGACAGTCTATGATGAGTGGTTCATTACGCTTTACAATTTGGTATATACCTCCCTTCCGGTGCTAGGAATGAGCCTTTTCGATCAGGTACTGTTTCTATTACCACTTGGATTTTTATTATAGGGGTTTTACCTCTGGGTGCTTTGAGCTGTTTCCATGAAGAAATAACAGCTGACTTTTTGGCTAGCTATTGTGGTAGCCCCTGAAATAGTTTTCTGCCAGTAAGACCCAAGAGCCCAAAAAAAACTATGCATCATGGAAGAGATTATGTATTGTCCTGTTTTGGCCTATGGGTTTCAGTGTGTAAGGATAATTTTGGGTTAGGCTGTTGACTACAGCAAGAGCACTCACGTGAAATAGTCACATCTTACACTGTGTTCCTGAAGCCTAACTACTGACTTTTCAATGACCATACAAAGCAATGAAATAACTAGATCTCTGAAGCCAAGTTTTTCAGGTTCAGCCTTTCTAGGGGAACTCTTTCTGCAGTAATTTCACATACGCATTTCTACCTCATTATTACTATTTGGCAAGATGTAGGAGCAATAAAGCTATTCCTATATGCCCTTTACAAGTCAGAGAAGTAGGAACTTGTTACTCTGCAGTGGTTCACAGTGTTCAGCTCTGGACACTTATCAAAGTTAGACAGCCTGTGTGGTCCCAGGGGTGGTGTTTTCTACCCCTTAGCTTCCAGGCAACTCTCTGGAGAGCAGCCCATGCAGCCTGCTTAAGATCAAGTGTGCTTTCCTATATTTTGCAACACTTGTCAGTTTACTTAGCACAAGAAAGGTGAAATTCAACATGGAAAACATGTCTAGGTGACCTTGGGACGTGGTACGCTAAGTGAATTGTGCACTAAGCCTTTTCTCATGGAAATGCAAGTCACAGTGACATGGCAACCCTAAGTGGTCTTGTCTGGTTGGTTGGATAGGTGCCAGCAAAGCTGACCATCTCCTCTCTGCTTTCAGGATGTGGGTGATCGCTGGAGCATGCTGTTTCCTGAGCTATACGTGCCTGGCCAGCAAAACCTCTATTTTAACAAAATCGTGTTTGTCAAATGCATGTTGCAAGGGATCTACAGTTCCCTCATTCTCTTCTTCATCCCCTATGGGGCCATGTACAATACAATAAGAAGTGATGGGAAGGCCATTGCTGACTACCAGTCCTTTGCACTGATGGTCCAGACCTGCTTATTGATTGTGGTGTCTGTACAGGTAAGGCATCCCAAGTAATATTTTTAGGAATTAGTTGTTTTATGAAGACAGAATCTGGAGGGCCACTTAGGATCTTGATAGCATTGTAGTGGCTGCTGCACCTTGCATTCTTGCAAAAAAAAAAAAGTCTCTTGACACCAGATTACTCTCTTCATTTCAACAGAACAACAGATTTGTATGTTAGGAAAGATCAGGGTGACAGGAAAGCAGAGTCTTTGCAGTCGTAGCAAACAAAGCAGTAAAGGCTGGGAACAGAGAAGGACTCTTTTCAGTTTTATGGAGAGGGTTCGAAGCACAGGACTGCCTGTCTGCTATCAGGCAGTTATTTATAGGGTCTCCATCTTGGGGCTATCTCTGTAGCCTGGACCTATGCACAATGCAGATGGTAGGCCTGCACTTGCTGGAAGAAATAGCTAGGACTTGGATGGTACAAAATTCAGATGGGACTAGCAGGATGAGAGAAATTTCTGAAAGGAAAACCAATCAATCACACCTCCCTAGATAATGGTTTCTGCTGTCTGAGGTCTTACAGGCTCCTTCTCCTAACTTCCAATGCTAGATCACAGCCTGGGAGTGGGGACATACACACGGCTCATTTGAACTTAGTATCCTGTCTCCAGTACTGGTCATTCATGAATGCCTGAGAATAGGGCAACAAGAGGGCAAACATAGGAATTCTCACCTTTAATGGTCTCCCAGCATTCTGTGATCTGTGGTTTGGTATTTCTTGAGGTTTCAATGAATAACATTCTTGGGGACAGGTGTACAAAGCAGAGGACAAGCTGTGTTCTGCACAGATCTGCTAAATAATTAAGGTGCTGACAATAGCTGTATTGCTCCACTCTTTCAGATTGGCTTGGACACCTCTTACTGGACAGTTGTGAACCAGTTCTTCATCTGGGGCAGCCTTTCTGTTTACTTTGCTATCACCTTCACCATGTATAGTGATGGCATGTACCTGATCTTCACAGCCTCCTTTCCCTTTGTTGGTAAGCCCTGGGACAGAACTGGATTGCACTCAAAATGCGCACACTGTGGGGCTTCAATCTGTTGAGTATTTCTAGTATTGTCTCTTTAGGGGCAATAACAGAGTATATTGATTTCCTGTTCTACGAGAAATGCCAGAGTATTTCTGAGTGCTGCTGGGAATGCTTATTTTGAATCCCATCCATCCAGGTGTACATGTGCCATGTTTACTTCCTTGCATAAGAACTCACATTCACATACAGCCACAGGAATGGTCCTTTAAATAAACCTACTGAGCTGGCTGGAATGCTTTCTGCTGCTCTTTTGTATTCTGCTTCCAGGTGTCCAGTTCTTGCAGATAGCTAGGAGCATTTTGCTTGCAGAAGGATGCATATTCTTTTGCAAATAAGCTAACATGTCAGTATAGGAAAGCATAAAAGTACAACATCCAGTTAGACATGAGAAAAATGCCATGTAATTATGACAAGCCTTCATCCACGTTAAATGGCAAATTCCCAACAAAAAAAAAAAAGAATGCAGTGATGACCAGGTCTTTGCAGTTACTCCATATAACAGATTTCTGAACACATGCAAAAAGTGAAAGATAACATAAAAATGAGTCAGTCCATCTCCTGAGACTCAAACCAGGAGGAAGATGAAAGCTTAGCAAATTAATTTGGATATTTTTAATAGCTCTGTGCATTGTAACCAATATTGATCCACATTGTTATGAGGCTCTACTCCTGAAATCCCAATGCTTTTTGTTTCAAGTCTCAATTGGTGTATTAATCAATGCCTTTATTTCTGGATGAATTGTTAAGCCAAGACTTTTTCTGCCCCTCTTCACTGCAATATCAAGGCATTTGGGCATTTTAGAAATATCTGAGATGCAGGTCAGTTGTTGCAATGCATTTTCCAAGCAGATGGTCACATCCACTGTGAGATGGCTTTTAGCATCAAAATTGCTGAGTGAGAGAAAACAGAGTGTCTGTTCAGTTTCCAAAGACAGGTGGTAACTCATTTACCAGAGATGTCTCTATCTGCTGCTCCGTTGGTATTACGTAGGTCAAATTAGCATAATGCTGATGGCTGCTTAATAAGGTCTCAGTCTGAAACCATTTTTAAGGAAAGTGTTTGTAATCTGGACTCAGACAACTTGTTTACTTTAATTTCAGTGGAGTTGTATTACAGAAGAATTTAGGCAACTGAAAAGAAAACATTCAGCAACTTTACTGCCAACAACAGCATCATTAAGCCCTGTAATGAGGATTTTGCAGACTGTTTGTTCTATCTTACATTCCTTCAGCCTTGAAGAACCCAGAAGTGAGCACTTTGGTTTCAGAGAAGGTGGTGGTGTCAAGCCACCGCATGGCAGGTGCTCTGCCAAAACTCCCATTGGGATTCCCTATCCGTGCAGACACCCAGAGGAACCACATGCTCCTCTCGTAAAGGGCTGCGATCCTATAGTCTGCTGGGCAGTCAGTCAGTAACCCCATATGCTTCAGGGAATGGGGCTGGAAAGTAAGAAAACAGCATTCCTCCTTTTGCACTAAAGTCCTGGCAAAAGGTGAGAGGGCTGGACTGCTGCCGGAAGAGGTCTCTTGTACATTTATATCAATCCTTTGCAGTGATTTGGCTCTTTGTAAAGAGATGAGGCATTTCCTCTGACATTCTTGTCTCCCAGTTGCAACGTCTAGAAGTTGCATTCTTCTTTGCTTGTGCCAGACAGTCGTATTGTTATTGTTATTGCTGTTTGCCTTGTGCTCTGGAATCACAGAGAATCAAAGCTTCAGGTGAATGATGGTGAGAGTTGCTGCTGTTATGGTTTTAATAATGCTTTTGTTTTTTTCAGGTACGGCTCGAAACACCCTCGGCCAACCAAGCGTGTGGCTCGCAATCTTCCTCAGCATCACCCTCTGTGTGCTGCCTGTAGTTGGCTTTCGATTCCTGAAGACTCAGTTAAAGCCAACTCCCAGTGATAAAGTAAGGATATACCTTATTAAAGCAGAAATCCTGCTTACCAACACCTAAGCTTACCATGGAGCCGTACTGCATGGGCTTGGCATTGGTCAGAGTGTACGTCCCTGTAGGTGCAAGTGCTGCCATCTGTCTGTCACCTAGTTTTTTGAGAAGAAGGAGTGAATTCGGGATTTGGCATAGTTCAAACCATCTGCAGCTGGGCCTAAGGCTGAGATTATTTAGATATGGATTAGATTGCACTGGAACAAGGAAGCTGCACTATTTTTAGGTGTAGGGTTTAAGTACTGTGGCTCAGTGCAAACGTATGGCATGTTACTCCTGCCGTGATGCCGTACATTTTAATTTAGCCTGGCAGACCACAGCCTGCCACCCTCCACCCAGGTTTACATGTCTGCTGGGGATCTTTCTACTCCAGAATTTACTTCGTATGTAGCCGATGGTTATACACCTCTCTGAAACCTCTCCCACCCCCAGGAACAGGAAGGTGAGGCCACTAGGACAAAGAAAGACTGGGAGAGATGGAGCGGGCAGAGAGCGCGCAGCTTCCTACAGCCAATGGACCCCTCGAGAAAATCAGCACAAACCAAGCTCCCCGGCTTGGTTAGCATCTCCTAAATGCTGCTGCCACCTGGTGCCTCCTTTCCCTCCCTGCACTGAGCTGCAGACACGAGTGACCCTGAGCACAGCCCCACGGGCGTGCTCCCCATTGGCTGCTCTGGCCATCCCTGGAGTGTCTGTGAAGCTCCCCAGGGACTCCAGGGCTGGTGGAGAATGAGTGCAGGGGAATCCTGAGCCCCTGCAGAGTGGGTAGAGGGGTGCTAGAAAAGACTGATAGGAAGAAAAGTCCTGAGGACACAATTAGAGGCAGTTCAGGCGTGTAAAAATGGCTTTTACATGTTGGAGAACCCCTTTAGTAGCCTATTTTCTAGATTATGTAAGCCAGGTTTTAAATGCTTCCTTATTTGTTCTTTGGACTTTGACCATTGTTGAGATGAACTTTCACATTTTGAGTTATTTGACTGAAGTGCCTAAAAGAGCCGCAGTAATACCCTAAATGAGGCATCACAGAGCTGTCAGGAGCAATACACTGAAATCATCCCCTCCCATAAATTAGAGATGACACTCCCATTATCACCTTTTAGAATAAGATCACCTCTTCCTTTCACCAGGCTGCCACCCTGTGCTACCAGTTCAGTTCCTGCACTGCCTCCCTCCTACCACCCCCCCGTTTTGTCAATCATTTTTGGCTTTGGAACACTGCTTCCGTTTCTCTTTCTTTGCTCCTCTATGACTGTGCTTGTGAATAATTACACAGTCCCCACTTTTTCCATCTTATTTTCTGATTTCAGGTCTTGCTCAAGATCAAAGAAGCCAAAAAGAGGCCACCTCCACCCTCACCCAAGAGACGCCTCCGTCGGACCAGCACCCGGCGCTCTGGCTATGCCTTCTCCCATCAGCATGGCTTTGGAGCACTCATTATGTCTGGGAGAAACATGCGGCCAAAATCACCTTTTGCAACAACAGGAACATTTTCACCAAATAGTGAGAAATACAAACACAAAGGACTGTAAAAAAACCTCCAAAACACCAAAAAAAAGACCAAAAAAACCCAAACCAAAGCAAACCAAAGTAAAGGGCTGCCAGGAGTGGAGGCTGTGCTCCCTGCAAAGCACAAAGCTGGTGGCGGCCCAGAGCTCTGCCCTCAGAGCTACCAAATCAAGGACTTGAGCCTTTCCTTTTACACACGTGCACCCTCTGACTCCAGCTTCTCTTCCAAAGACGTGTGCTGCTGCCGAGGAAGGCAGGCAGAGTGAATCAGAGCTGTTGTATGGTATCCCAGAGGGCCTTTCTGAATAGGAGACAACATGCTGCGGGAGGCATCTCCACTCTCTGAGATTGTTCATAACGCTATTTTTTTTAAAAATCCTTTTAACTACATACCTCAGAGCAAAGAGAAGTCTAAGCTGAGGAAAAGGCTGAATTGGCAATGTTATTCTCATGTGCCTTTGTTTCTGTCATTAATCCACTCTGGGCCTTATTACTGGGGTGACAATATTGACTCCAGGTGTGCCTTAGGTCCAACCCCCAAATCCCTAATCTTTGTAATATATGTAATTTTGTAGCCTTTTGAGTGTACACAGGCACTTTGGAAGGCATGAGTTGGAAATAACCTCCTTCCAAACTAACAGTTAATCCAGTTTCTGAAGACATGGCCAGTGCCCAAGCACCACCCTCTTCACACATCTGCAGCAAGGAAGTGCTGCAAGCTCAGAGAAACTCTTAGTTGGTCAAGGGACAAGGACTTGACATTCATCAGCCTGCCCTGTTTTATCTGCACTGCAAATCTGCTCCTGTAAAAGATCATTGTCCTCAGAGCCCTCTCAAGTTTTGTAACTGGTCACCAGCCACTTCATTTAGACTTAAACAGGCAGAAGCAGCTCAGGCTCCCATACAGATCAAGCCATAAAATCTAGGCCAGGGAAGCCCGCACCATGGTTAGGGCTCATCTGAGCTGCCAGCACCAGGTGTATCTCCCACCATAACAGACTGGGGTGCATGCACCTCTGCTTTGATGGAGATCACAGAAGCAGCATCAGAGGTGCTATTTCACAGCCAGCTCAAGGTGCCCTTCTCTCCACCACTGCTGTTGCTTGGCTTAAGGGACAAAGCGTGACCTGGTGGCTCCCTCGCCCTCCCTGACAAGCAGTTTGGTCAGGTTTCAGAGGAACTTAGCAAGGGCTTGGAGGCTTCTGCAAAGTTCCTCTGTGCTGGCTGGTGTTTTATGTGGGAACAGTTCATCTGTCAATCCCGAGTTGCAGAGAGCTGAAAACACCATCATTCTGGCTGCCAGCAGAGGGACCTAGGATGCACAGACACAGCCAAAGATCCTGAGGGACTGGGATTTGCTCACTGTTTTGTTACACCAGCTCCATGATCAGTGGGGTTACCAGGTGGAAGGCCAGCGTGGCAGCATGCAATTCTGTCCTGCCAGCACTGCTGAGCTGCCTAAATGGAGCCTTTTTGTGCAGAGGACTAAGCAGAGATGGCTGGTTTTGTTTTGTTTTTTCTTTTTTTGGTTCTTGTATACAAATTTAGACTCCCTCCTTGTTTTGAATTGGATTTTTTTGCACAGTAACCATTTGCGGTATTTATTGGGAAGCTTTGGAGCTATCTCGAGGCTATGTATGATGGCAACAGGCCAGCCACGTCCCCATTTCATCCGATCTGCATGTAACACCTTGCTGCCTGTGGTCGCACTTTCAGCAGTTACTGTGTAAGATTGGTTAAGCTCTAATAGAAGGTCTCATCTCCCCACATTTATCTCAGCAAAGAAAAAAGCAGCCTGTTGCACCTGCTGCTTTGGGAGGCTCATTGCAAACGGTGGTATTAAATGTCAGCATAGCCAGTGCAAAACTAGAGCTGGGACTGGATCCAGACTTCAGCAGCCAGGGGCTGCTTGCTAAGGAAGGAGCAAATTCTAATCTGGTGATCTCCCCTGCAAGGAGATACCCAAGTAAAGTGAGAGCCTGCAACCTGACTGAGGAAGCCACTGTGATAAGATAGTGCTTGTCACCGCCCTCTGATTTACCATTCACTTTGCGCAGACAATCATGGCTTTCTGGTGAGGATTATGTCTTTCACAGTCAGCCTCTCTGGGGCTAGAGGAAAAAGGAGAATTTATGTAGGAAAGCAAGACATCCCCATGATACCCAGACTGGTCCGTGGACACAGAGTCCTATTTAGGCTGTTCCTAGCATGTAATGCAGCAGATGAGCAGGGGCAGACTTTTTGCTGATAGAGCAAGGCAACTCTGAGACTGTGCCACTCTTCTCATGTGGTTTACGTGCAAAGAGCTCACCTTCTGGCTGATGGGGATCTGCAAATACTGCATAGGACTTGCAGGGGATAATAGAGCTGTTGGTGAACTTGTACTAGACACAAATATTTCAGTGGTTTGACCATACCAGCTGGCAGTGATGTCTGTCGTACATCACTCCTGATTTTATAAAATGATTTTTTTTTTTAAATAAAGAGAATATTGGGATGACCAATTCCTTGCCAGTCTGCTAACTGATCACAAGAGTTTATAGCCAGATGTGTATTATTTGTGGGCCCCTTAAAGTGGGAGGAGGGTCTGTGGGGGGACGGATCTGAGATGACAGCGCTTTTCATACTGTACTCAGGCGTGGGACACAAATTCCCAAACTTTGGAACCGATAAGGGACGTTTTAAGAGGAAACTTAAGAGGAAACGTCAAACATCCTTAG